TTCTGGAGTTTTATCCTGTTCTTTCATTTGGGACATGTTTCTTTGCTTCTTCATTTTGGCTGCCTCCTGGTGTTTGTTCCTATGTATTAGGTAGATCTGCTCTGTCTCTCAGTCTTGGCAGAGTGGACTTATATGGCAGGTATCTGGGGACAGTCTCCCTGGTCACCTGAAGCAGGCGCTCCAAGTGTGAGTTGTGTGTGCCTTCCTATTGTAATTGAGCCTTGATTGCTATTGGCGTGTCAGTGAGTGAGACCGACCATCAGGCCGACTGGCTATAAGAGCTGGCTATGACTATACCATATGAGTTGTGTGGGAATGATCCCCTGGAGCAGGAGTCACTTTAGCAGGGCTCTGGTGCCAGCTGAGTTCGTCTTATAGTTATGTCATTTCTGCAGGTGGTTGGTTGGTGCTCTAGTGTGGTCTGAAGCTGGTTACCAGGTGTGTTGATTCTGGAGCCTCTGGAATGGGCTCTGGTGTAGGCCCAGTTCTACTACCACGTGTGTCTAGCCCGCAGCCAATTAGTAGGAGTTACAAAGTGATCTTCTGTTGGTTGCCACTTGTGCTGGGCTTACAGGCACTTGGGAGAGGCAACGATATGAACTGAAGCTGACTGCTACGAGTGCCAGGCTTGAGACCCTTTGGTGGGCACCAGGATGTGAGCTGAGGCCAGCTGCCACTTGTGCCGCTTGTGACCATTTAGTTGAAGCTACATTCTGAACCAAGATTGGCCCCCTCTTATGCCAGACTTGGGGCTACCTGATGGCTGTTACAATGCAAGTTGAGACCGTTCACTACTTGTGCCAGGATTGGGGCTACTTAGCAAGAGTACAGAATATTCCGAGGCCAGCCACTGCTTGTTTGGGGTATGTGGACCTTTGAGAAATTTTAGGAAAGTCCACAATGTAAATCTAGGCAAGCCTCTGTGTGGAAAAGCCACTGGAAGTAGTTCAGGGGGCACACAAATTGGGTGGGGTCAGGTCACGGGGAATCACCAGGATGGGGTGAACACTGTTAGCCAGGTCGATAGAGAGCACAGATTTTGTGTCTGCCTGTGCCAGGTTGGCTGAGTGGGAGGAGGACTCAACAAAGGTTCAGTGACACCTGCCAGCACTCCCAATTTCAGAAAGTTGCTCCAGCCCTTGCTCCTCCTCCCCGCCCCCCCAGTTCTTGCCCCGAAGTTAGTCAATTTGGTTACTTCCTATATGTCCCTGGCACTTTTTGAGCTGCTGCCCCTGCACTAGAGCCTAGAGTGAGTGAGTTTGTGAGCAAGTAAAGTCCTTGCATGGGCCCTTTAAGAGGGATGCTAGGTACTCCAGCAGCCCTCTGTCTCACTGGGATGCAATCCCTGCTGATTTTCACAGCCAGACGTTATGGTACTCTTCTTCCCAGCACTTCCCTGGGCTGGGGAGCCTGATGTGGGGCTGGAACCCCTTGCTCCTTAGAGAAGACCTCCACAGCCAAGACATCCCTCCCGATTCTTCATCGCCACACTGTTAGTGTGGGACTGGCCCATTCTGTGTCTCCACCCCTACAACCAGTCTCAGTGTGGCTTCCTTATATCCTTAGTTATAGGACTTCTGTTCAGCTAGTCTTCAGGTGGTTCTCAATGATGGCTGTTCTATAATTTATTGTCATTTTGATGAGGTCATGGGAGGAGGTGAGAATAACATTTACCTACGTTGCCATCTTGACCAGAAGCCTGAGCTCCTCTATCCTTTAGCTTCACTTTTATTCAGGGGAGAACAATGAGCACCATGGAGGAAGAAGGCTGAGGGCAGGTGGCCTGGCAACTCCTTGGGCTAAGGATGCTTTACCATTGTGCTCTTGGGACAAAAGTAGGTACTAAAGCAGGTATACTAAACCAAAGAAACAAATCAGACAAGGGTTTAGTGAGAAAAGTAGTGAACTGAGCATTAGCCAGTGAGCTTACAATCCTGCTTCTACCACTAAATATCTAGGTAAACTTGAATAAGCCCTGAAACTTCTCAGAACTATAAAGTTTTCACCTATTAAATAGGGAGGTATTAATGGATGGTTTTAAAGGTCTTTGCTAGCTCTAAAATTGAACCAAGTGAAGTGAAAACAGCATGAGAAATGTAGAAAGTGATAAATGTAAGATGTGATGATGTAAAATCAGGATGATTATACCAGTTCAAAAGACTCTTTTGAGGATTAATCAAAGAAGAGTATGAAAAGTACGTATACATGGTCGTAGGTAGCTGCTAATATTGTTATTGTTGTAGCTGAAGCTCTAAGCATGCATCACCTCTGCTGCACTCCCTGCTGATTAAAGTGATGTCCCAAAGTGACCACACAAACCCTAAGAACTCCTCGCCAAAGTTACACAGGCACATACATGTCTGTGTGTCATCCACCAAACAGCAGTGACAACAGCAGGCATGTTGTAGTGCTTATTTCTCACAAAGTGATTTCTCGTGCATGGTCTTATTGGATTTTCAAAATTAGGCTGTGAGGCAGGCAAAGCAAATTTTGTTTTCATCCCAGCTCTCAGGCTGCTGCCTTGTACCATTCCAATGGAGTGGCACTCAAGGGGGCGCCATCCACATAGAGTGGTGCCCCCTGTCCCAGAGTCCTGCAGAGCAGCAACACTAACCCCTTTCAGAAGAGGCTACTGAAGCCTGTAGAGGTTACACTGTCCACAGTCACACAGCAGAGGAGGAAAAGTGTCTGATCGCCAAGTCAGGTTATGACTCCAGTTATTTTGTGCTTTTCCCTGCACCATGTGACCTTGACTACAATACATACATGATGACTATGATAGGGTCAAACTCTCAGTGCCAACCTTCCCATACAATATTCAGCTTAAGACTATCTTAGTTCAGGATCCCTTGAGGTCACCAGAGGAGAAAATTGTCACTATGCCAAACTATGACATGGCACATTGTGACTCAGTCTTACTTTAGATGTGCTATCCTCCGGACATTACTTTGTAGAAGGGAAATGCCTACGCATCCAAGCAAATTAGGCTACAGAGCTAGAGACCTACTCTGCCTCTCCGTAAGACTGCTTTACATGAATATTCAATAACCAGCACCCCTAAAAGTCTATTGTATCTCCCACCTGTGTTGTCATCTTATCACAATCTGTGCTCTGTGCCAAAAGGCACATTTCAGTATTAAAGAAAGACTCGGAGTTTGAGAAAAGTGACAGAAATATTTATTAAAGTGCTGCACTTGGACTCCATGCAAAATGAGAGTGACTTCCTCATATGCACTAATCCCCAAACAAAATAACCATCAAGAAATATTAAAACACACATTTTATTAGTTTCATTTAATTTCTTAATTGCTCAAAGTCAGCTTACCCATTTACTGCTGTGTGAAATGCTTAGAGGCAAGGAGCACATTAAAGGGATTATTTCCATGTAATCCCTCCCTCCCAGAGGGTCGGAACTGATCACTTATGAATTCTGATTTACGCTCTGTAACAATATCAAATGGAGAAAATAGTTATTGTAAAATGATAGAGTCGGTAGTCGGGTAATACAGTAGGAGAGTGTAATTTAATAGCAGAGAGAAAGTACCTCATTTTCGGTAAAAGTTATGCGAGCCTTTTTCAGGAATAGCTATTAGCCAAACTGAATTTAGCCTCCCATTTTTCTGGCTATACCTCTGTTAATTGATAGATGTTGAAGATGTGTAGCCTGTTAAGATTTTAATCAAATGGTGTCGGGAGTAGATGCGATCATTTTACTGGGACTGGAGTTCTGGGGATAATAATTACTCTGGGTATGATGCTCTCTGTGACAGTTCACCCACCACCAGCCTGCCTTCTTG